TTACAAAAAAATTGGCCTAAAGGATTTCTGCTAAGGTATTTCCGGCTTTGTTACCGCGTGATAACTTTTGTTTCGATGCTAGTTTCATTTGCATTGTCTTGGCTCGTTGTTGTTGCAAATCTAGCCTTACCGATAGATCTAGTTCGAAGTTTCGAAGATAGAATTTTTTCGACTGAGCGGCTTTCGTGTTTTGTATCGCAAGTCGTGCGAAGCTCAGCTTCGCCTCTGTGTAAATAAATTCCTTCGGTCTTTGAATGTGATGACTTTTTGCTCTTTTTGACCCTTGAGGTAACGTTTCAGTTGAAAGAAGATGGTCTCACCCTTAAACCATTCATCTGAATTAAATTTCTGGAGCATTTTATAGTTAGTTTAGAAAAAGCTCGAAAGAATGAATTGAACGTTTAGTTATATAACCAGGTTAACAATATAACCAGGAATAATATATATTTTTTTGTAGATCGCAGTAGTTTTGCGATATCGTTTCAATTGGGAAGAATAGCATTCAGGAAGTGAACGAATTAAAAATAGTGAGCTGATCCTGGAAATATCTCCAGTCTCAGTTGAGACCCAGTTGTTTAATTTCCTGAATCCAGCTGTGATTCAAATTAAGAAAACTGTTTTCGAAAGTAGTTTTGGGATGTCTTAAAATCATTGAACCGAACTCTTTAGAAGTCGATGTCGTTTGACTAAAATCCCGCTGCAACCGTAGCAATGTAGAGCTTTGCTTTCAGGTTTTTGCACTCAGCTAGGGTATTCTTTCAATCGGATGTAATTTTCGGGGGGTGTAGCGATAAGCCTGAGTGCCTATTAGCATGCGGTAATTGCATTAACTGCCTGTGCTTTCACACGAAAAATAGTTTCAATTTCTAATTAATTACGACTGTTTCTAATTAATAACTCCCCCAACATAATTAACAATTTTGTTGGGGGAGTTAAAATTTCGCTTTCGCCTAATAAAAAATTGCAGTGCACGCTGCTCAAAATTGCAATTTTGAGTAACCAAAACGTGTAATAGTTAATCTTCTTTGTTAAACATGAGCATGCTAATCGACACGCATGCTAATAGCAAGGCCCCGTCAGAAACTGTTGAAAAAACGTCATCACGAAGGCTTACTTGATGTAATGTATTGTCATAAAAGCATGTTAGCCAAGGCTTTGTGTTGATGTTTGTTGTTTGTACGATATTTGGGGCGCGTCCGGCTAGCTCTTCCATAAATAGGCCGAAGTCACATGTCTATTGAGGTCGTGAAGTTGGTTTGTGGGGAGGGGAGTATTAGCGGGACGTTTGGGTCTATCCGATTTGAAAACTAATTGAAGTAGGGCAATAGCCGGATAATATTTGTGCGAGGATAATATTTGCCGGATAATATTTGTCTTTTTTTGTTTTCTGACTACATTTTTTGGTGTTTTTTTTTTCAGCTTAAGTATAGTCTGCCAAAGTACTTTCGGACTAGTGGTCGCTCAGTAAATGATACAAAGGCTTAATTTTTGGTGTTTTTTTTTCGTCTATTTTAATCAAATTGATTTTTTGGTTTCTGTTTTCATGAAATTGATTTTTTCATTTCAAAACAAAATTTCTTTTCAAAACAAAAAACGTCTCATTTTCTATTCGCTAGCTTGAAATAGTGCTCCTTGGTTGAATAGTGAGTTCCGTGAAGCTACGTTTTGGATCTGTGTTTGTGATATGATGCGTTTTTGTTCCGACAATGAAAGTATTCTTTGTATTCGGATGTTGTAGTTTTGTTTCCTATGCAAAATCTGCTACCATTAATAATCATCAAAAAGGGGCGGATTATATATCAATTTAAAGCCCTTTCAGTCGTTACTTGAACAACCTTCAAAATTTTTCAAAAAATTCTTCCAGTGTTGAGAAAAACTGGATGGAAATTTTTGAGATTTCCATCCAGTTTTTCAGTAACGTTCGTTATAAACGAGTAACGTTCATTATAAACATTGATGGAACGAGTAACGTTCGTTATAATTATTGATGGAAATTGGTCAATTAAGCTTAAAAAATAGGTTTCACACAATTAAGACTACTTTTTGAAGCTGCTTATAGCGCTTCCTTGGCAATAAACGTTTCTATAAAAATTTCAAACATAATTGCAAAAAATAATATATAGCTTAAGATTTTTTTTGAACTTTTTTCATGTTGATTGTTTTTCGTTTTTTTGAAGATAAGTGCTGTCAACTTCGCCTAGTTCGCTAATTTTATACGCGTGTGTATATTTGTTTCATCACATCATCCACAAAAAAAAACGAAATTGAAGAAAAAATTTTTTTTCCAGGAATGTGGTCGAAACTCATATGGTGGAACATGCACAGCAACCAATTATCCTCCCTTTTTTCAAGATAACTGTAAGCTGAACATAGCACAGCAACTGGCTATCCTTGTAGCCTGGTATTTTTTTTACTGCTTTGTTTTTTTTAAGTAGTAAGGGCGCGGGTGTAGGCGTCATTTTAAGATATCGAACTAAGTTGATATTTTATCTGTTATCACTGTCATGATATTTGAGTTTTGCCTAATTGCCTAATTGAGTTTCCTTAAATCAGTGCATATAAGTGTATTCCTGATTGAGAACATAACAATATCAGCTGTTTATGTAGACCTTCGCAGTGCCTTATAAAGACTTGTTACCTGAAGACAGACAACGTGTCACGTTTTTGTCATTTTTGGGACTAGGATTTGTTGAATTTGGCCCATTTTATGTTTTGTCGCTCTGCCAACTCAGCAAAGATGTTTTTGATATAAATAACGGAAATACGCAGACCTGTGATTGTATCTGGGTTTTTAGGACACTTCTTAACCGATGGGCCGCTGGATTTGATGGCAGGTGACTTGTACGCGACACTCTTTTTTAAACCCAAGTCAACTTAATTTCAGCTCGAATGATTCAAAGTTTTATATTAACACTTGCGAAGCGTGTGTATTAGTACGAACCATCTATTTCTTCCAACCCAAGTCGCAAATACTGTTGCGACACCTTTACAGCTTTTTCATAGTATCGGCTTTGACATTCGAATAGTAATAAGTTAACACAGTTGATGCATTTTTAAGAGAAATGAACGTAGTGAGTACTCTGATATAGGTCTTGCTGATTTTTTTTGTTTTTTTTTTTAAGTTTGTTCATGCTCAATTTTGATTTTTCGCGGTTTGACTCGTGATTTTGTTTTTACAATCAGTGCATTTTCGTTTTTAAAAATGAGACAAACTCCACTATCGAACATCAATAGTTTAAAGGTCACGAAAAACGTGATCGACTTCTAATTTCGAAAATGGAAATTAGTTATCAGATTTTCCAGTAAAATCTAAGTTTTACCTATTGATCCAGTTTTCTCTAATTTTAACAAAAATAGTGTCCGTCTTAAATTGTTCTACAAATACAAAAAGCTTTAATGCCATCTATTTTTTTCTTCGAAATTCAAAAGTTGAATTTTTTAAGAAAAACAAATCAGTTTTTGTTTCAGTTTCCTTGCGTTCATTACTCTTTTCCAACTGTCAGTTCGCTATGTTTAGCTCATGAATTGAACCGAAAGAAGTGATTTGTTTCAAACAACATAACAATAATAAAAACTCGATTTCAGATATTTTCTTAACTCAATATATCTCGCAGTTTTTTTAAATGCATAATTTATACATAATATGGTTTTATGCTTTGCGATTTGTTACATGCAAAGTTAGTGTGGATGCCTTCAGTTTGTTATAATCCAAATTATTACTTGCAAAATTGAGTCGATTGTGTTTGATGCAGCTTTTGCTGAATGGCATTGGCAATTTAACTATGTAGCTCGTTTATTCGTGACCCGTGTTTGTCGGCTGTTAAGCTTGCGTGGCTGAGTGGATAGTGGGTGAGACTCAAAGTCTCTTGATTGCAGTAGGTCGCAGGTTGAATCCTAGACCTAGCCAAGCTTTTGCTAAGTCGATGCTTATTTCTACTTTTTCTTATTGCACTTTCTAGAGCTAGTTTTTGGTCGAGTTCTCGCAGTTTTTATCGGATCGTAGGGTTTTTTTGGGAATATATTTGGTTCAAAAATGTATCGGTCTCTCACTGGCTACCACCAGCGGATTAAGGACAGAAGAATTCGACCCCTTGCCAACCCAAAGGGCGCACGTTGTACTATTTTGAGATATGCTTTTTCGGCTGACTGATCCTAAAATTTTTCTTAAGGTGGGTGCATTTGGCGCCAATACATACTATATTTTAGGGGGAGATCGCTCCGAAAAAACGAAATTTTTAGTCATCATTTTCCAAAATCCTATAAACGCCTTTTTTGGCCTGTTTTTTTTTTTCAAAAATATGACTGCGGCGCAGAATTTTTTGTCAAAATAGGGTCTTTATAGAGATTTGGGACAGCTCAGAAAAGCAATTTGGTCGACTTAAACAAAAAAAGTCCACAAAATTTCGAATTTTTTTTTTGAAAATCCCCCCTCGAGAAAATCCTAGATTCGCCCCTGCTGGGTATTAAGGTTTTTATTTTTATCAGTATTTACTTCATTGGCTGTTTTGAAACATGCGATAATTCTTAATCAGATAAGGAAGCTCAATATGTTTAATCCTGTAATCCTGAAATCTCATTAGAATTTTTTGTTCCAGGTAGCTAAGCAATAACTGAAAGAAATATCATTTTTCCGATTCAAAATTACTTAGGCTCAATCAATATTCACTGGTTTTTATGCTCTCAGTTTCATGTACTAAACAAAAAGTAATTCATAAATAAGCCCTCCTATTAAATTTGAATGACAGATTCAATGGGATTTAATTCCACGATTAGCTGTCCATAAAAGCCAGTCTAAAAGACACGTTGGGTATGGTTGGAAACAATGTACCGCATAAAAAACTCAAGCAGTGAAAGAGTCCCCATCCTTTCCACGCTATCGATCTATATAAAATGGCAGTAAAAGAGTATTTAAGCAAATTAAGCAATAGGTGGAGAATTGTCTTCTAAATGCTTTGTTAAGATGTGTGAATAAATATGTGAACTGTTCTGTGTGTTCTTAGGTGTCTTCTGCATTCCTCTGTATATCCCCTCCATTCTCTGGGGCGAGTGGAGACTGGGAAGGACTTTGTGTAAGATGTTTCTCCTGGTCGACAACATCGTCTGCAGTGGATCGGTACTCAACATCATGCTTATATCGAGCGACAGATACCTCAGTGTCATACACGCCATGTCATACAGGTGCCAAATGTGTTCTACTGTTTAAGAGTCGATGAACGTTGTGGTCAGACTCCTATATAGGTCGTGATGTGTTTTAAAAGCTTTTTAGGCTCAAATATTTTGTGGCATGACCTTTGATTTCTTTTTATGTTCACTTATTTGCCTTTGTTAAAAGGAAGGCCAACTCTACTATCGAACAGCAAAAAAGAAAAGGTCACGATAAACGCGATCGACTTCTGATTTCGAAAATGGAATTCAATGATCAGATTACATAGCGAAATAAAATTTTACCTACTAATCCATTTATCTCAAATTGGGTTAATTTTATCACAAAAGTGTCTATCATAATTTTTTCCTGAAATTCTCAAAGCTATAAGGCTATCTATTCTTTTGTCTCTAAAATTCGAAACTGGAGCTTTTTTTTAAAATCAAAACAACCAAGAATTTTTTTTGTTAACTAGCGTTCATTGACTCTTCTAACTGTCTGTTCACTTTTTGACAAATTTTCACTTATTTTTTTTTTTACAAAATTTAGTTTTCTCGAAAACTACTCTACCGATTTTCATAAAAGTGGTACCCATGGCAAGTCCGCCTACTCCCCTGTGTGCCTGCATAATCCCCTAGTCTCGTTTTTTAACCTTAGCCCCACTTTCTACAGCCTTTGAAAAAGTGTTTGGGGTAACTTATTGACCCAAGTTTTTGGATTTTTTTAACGTTTTCTCGAAAAATTGTTAGGAATTTCTGAGATTTTAAGTTCAACGGATAGAAAAGGTTGTGGGAAGCTCCCCTGCATAAGCGTCGTCGCCCAATTTATCTTACACAAAAAGCTATGGCCCACAGAGTAGTCAAATTTTCGATTTTTGTCCGTTTTTTGAAACTATTTGACTTCACTCAAAAACTCTCCTACTAAATCTGAGGATTTAGATTCAATCGAAGAAACGGGTTTTGAGAAGTCTCCTGCATAAGCGGTTACGCACAATTTTTTTAACTCAAAAAATACTGGCCCTCGGAAAAGTTAAAATTTTGACCTTTTTTTGAAACTCTTAGACTTCTCTCGAAAACTACCCTCCCAAATCTGGGATTTTGGGTTCAACGGAGAGAAAAGTTTGTGCGAAGCTCCCATTCATTACGAGTGATGCCGCTCAAATACTTGCATAACCAGTGTTCGCTAAAGTTTTGTTTTGCCTCGATTTTCTGGCTTTTGTGTGAACGGTTAAAGTAAGCAGAAGGGGGAGCTCAAAAATGTTGTCGGGAAAGATGTTTCAAGGAGGGGAAGCAAAAAATTTGATTTTCATAATTTAGTTAATTCTGGCGATGGTATTTCTAGACGTGTTTTTGTTCTATTGCAGAAACCACTTTGTTGAAGTTATATGCTTTTCAGCCGAGTAGTTGCAGCTCGGCTAAACTGCACAAATTTTTTCGGATTGATTAATTTTTATCTGATGATCTTTTTAAAGTCTTCCCAATGAGCAGCTTTTTGACTTTCTTTGTTATTTTACTTTTATTAGTGACAAGATTTCTCAATTTTAATTGGATTGAAGGATTAACTTTTATCTGAGTATCATTTTTTGTCAAGTTTTTTTCCAAGTGGAAGGTTTTAATCTTGATTGCATTGAATGCAATAGGTTAAGGGTGTACAAATGTTTTTTCTTGATCAATCCGTTGTTCTTTCTTCGTTGATGTTTGTCCTTTATCGCTTTGATTTTGTTTTGATTTTTTTTTCGCCGAAGCTGCTTTTAGTAGGGCTACTTATGTCAACTTGTTCGAGCGATTTTTTATTTGTTATAGTGATGAGGTAATTTGCGTTCGAGTGGAGTAGTTGCAGCTAGCCTAAGCTGCGTGAACTATTTCATAATGATTAACTTCTATCTGACTATCATTTTTTCTTCAAGTTTTTCCCAAGTGTCAGATATCCATCTTCCTTGGGTTCAATGCAATCGGTAAAGGGTGTGCAAATGTTCTGTCTTGATCAACTTTTTGACTTTAAATTTTGTTGATGCATGTGATTTATTTTTTTGTGTTTGTTTTGAGTTTTTGCTCGGTCTTAAGGCTACTTGATTTAAATGATGCGATTTCTTTCAAGATAGAATGATGAAGTAATTTGCGTTTGAGTGGAGTAATTGCAGCTAGCCTAAGCTGCGTAAACTATTTCATAATGATTATCTTCTATCTGACTATCATTTTTTCAAGTTTTTTCCAACTGGCAGGTTTCCATCCTGATTGGATTGAATGCAATCGGTAAAGTGTGTACGAATGTTTTGTCTTGATCAACGCTTTGGTTTTTCATTTCGTTGATGTATGTGATTTTTTGCTTTGTGTTTTTTTTTGTTCAGTATTAAGGCTACTTGATTTAAATGATTCGATTTCTTTTAAGTTAGAATTATGAAGTAATTTGTGTTTGAGTGGAGTAGTTGCAGTTCGCCTAAGCTGCGTAAACTATTTCATAATGATCAACTTTTATCTGAGTATCATTTTTTGTCAAGTTTTTTACAAGTGGCAGATTTCCATCTTGATTGCCTTGAATGCAATAGGTTAATGGTGTGCAAATGTTTTTTCTTGATCAATCTATCGTTCTTTTTTTGTCGATGTATGTCATTTATCACTTTGATTTTGTTTTGATTATTTTTTTCGCCGAAGCTGCTTCTAGTAGGGCTACTTGAGTCAAATTGTTCGAGAGGTTCCTTATTTTTTTATAACGATGAAGTAATTTGCGTTCGAGTGGAGTAGTTGCAGATAGCCTAAGCTGCGTAACATTTTTCATAATGATTAACTTCTATCTGACTATCATTTTTTCAAGTTTTTTCCAACTGGCAGGTTTTCATCTTGATTGTATCGAATGCAATCGGAAAAGGGTGTACGATTGTATTGTCTTGATCAAACCTTTGGTTTTTTTTCGTTTTTTGGTGATTTATCGCTTTGTGTTTTTTTTTATAATGATGAAGTAATTTGCGTTTGAGTGGAGTAGTTGCGGTTCGCCTAAGCTGCGTAAACTATTTCAGAATGATTAACTTTTATCTGAGTATCATTTTTTGTCAAGTTTTTTCCAAGTGGAAGATTTTAATCTTGATTGCCTTGAATGCAATAGGTTAATGGTGTACAAATGTTTTTTCTTGATCAATCTATCGTTCTTTTTTTGTCGATGTATGTCATTTATCACTTTGATTTTGTTTTGATTATTTTTTTCGTCGAAGCTGCTTCTAGTAGGGCTACTTAAGTCAAATTGTTCGAGAGGTTCCTTATTTTTTTATAATGATGAAGTAATTTGCGTTCGAGTGGAGTAGTTGCAGCTAGCCTAAGCTGCGTAAAATTTTTCATAATGATTAACTTCTATCTGACTATCATTCTATCTGACTATCATAACTTCTATCTGACTATCTTCTATCTGACTATCACTATATAATGATGAAGTAGTTTGCGTTTGAGTGGAGTAGTTGAGGTTTGCCTAAGCTGCGTAAATTATTTCAGAATGATTAACTTTTATCTAAGTATCATTTTTTGTCAATTTTTTTCCAAGTGGCAGATTTTAATCTTGATTGCATTGAATGCAATAGGTTAAGAGTGTACAAATGTTCTTTCTGATCAATCCGTTGTTCTTTTTTCGTTGATGTTTGTCCTTTATCGCTTTGATTTTGTTTTGATTTTTTTTCGCCGAAGCTGCTTTTAGTAGGGCTACTTATGTCAACTTTTTCGAGCGATTTTTTATTTGCTATAGTGATGAGGTAATTTGCGTTCGAGTGGAGTATTGCAGCTAGCCTAAGCTGCGTGAACTATTTCATAATGGTTAACTTCTATCTGACTATCATTTTTTCAAGTTTTTCCAACTGGCAGGTTTCCATCTTGATTGGATTGAATGCAATCGGTAAAGGGTGTACGAATGTTTGGTCTTGATCAACGCTTTGGTTTTTTATTTCGTTGATGTATGTGATTTATTGCTTTGTGTTTTTGAGATTTTGTTCAGTATTAAGGCTACTTGATTTAAATTATTCGATTTCTTTTAAGTTGGAATTATGAAGTAGTTTGTGTTTGAGTGGAGTAGTTGCAGTTCGCCTAAGCTGCGTAAACTTTTTCATGATGATGAATTTTTATCTGAGTATCATTTTTGTCAAGTTTTTTGCAAGTGGCAGATTTTAATCTTGATTGCCTTGAATGCAATAGGTTAATTGTGTACAAAAATGTTTTTTCTTGATCAATCATTCGTTCTTTTTTTTGTCGATGTATGTCATTTATCGCTTTGATTTTGTTTTGATTTTTTTTCGCCGAAGCTGCTTCTAGTAGGGCTACTTATGTCAACTTGTTCGAGCGATTTTTTATTTGCTATAGTGATGAGGTAATTTGCGTTCGAGTGGAGTATTGCAGCTAGCCTAAGCTGCGTGCACTATTTCATAATGATTAACTTCTATCTGACTATCATTTTTTCAAGTTTTTCCAACTGGCAGGTTTCCATCTTGATTGGATTGAATGCAATCGGTAAAGGGTGTACGAATGTTTGGTCTTGATCAACGCTTTGGTTTTTTATTTCGTTGATGTATGTGATTTATTGCTTTGTGTTTTTGAGATTTTGTTCAGTATTAAGGCTACTTGATTTAAATGATTCGATTTCTTTTAAGTTGGAATTATGAAGTAGTTTGTGTTTGAGTGGAGTAGTTGCAGTTCGCCTAAGCTGCGTAAACTTTTTCATGATGATGAATTTTTATCTGAGTATCATTTTTTGTCAAGTTTTTTGCAAGTGGCAGATTTCCATCTTGGTTGCCTTGAATGCAATATGTTAATGGTGTACAAATGTTTTTTCTTGATCAATCTTTCGTTCTTTTTTTGTCGATGTATGTCATTTATCACTTTGATTTTGTTTTGATTATTTTTTTTCGCCGAAGCTGCTTCTAGTAGGGCTACTTAAGTCAAATTGTTCGAGCGGTTCCTTATTTTTTTATAATGATGAAGTAATTTGCGTTCGAGTGGAGTAGTTGCAGCTAGCCTAAGCTGCGGAAAATTTTTCATAATGATTAACTTCTATCTGACTATCA